AAGAACCTGGCCGTGGTCGGCATCTTCTTTGACTTGGACCCCCAAGACAAGCCCAACCCGTTCTTGACTCAAGTGTTCAGCCAGTTTGACCAGTTGACCAAGCCTGGCGACAACTTTACGCTGCCGGCGCTCGACCCGACGAGTCTCCATGTGAGCGAAAGCAACGTCTTTCGGTACCCTGGCTCGCTCACCACGAAGCCGTTCACGGAAGGTGTCGAGTGGAACGTGTTGCAAAAGGTGCATACGCTGTCCAAGGCGCAATTGAAGCAGTGGTCCAACGTCATTCACCTCCCCAACGCTCGTGAACTCCAAGCCCTGAACGGACGCGTGGTGACCTTGCTGACCAAGGACCACTCGGTGTGCTAGATGTGATTAATCTTAACGTAAATGATCAACTGTTGGTGCATGTAAGTAAGGTGTCAGTGCCTCGAATCTCCTCAATGCAAAGTACTTGGAGTACAAATTCGCCTCTGAAACTTGATAGGGCAGGGGGAAATATATTTAAATAATGTTGGGTGTTCAATACTCCGAGTATATTATTTCGATATATTTCTTTTCCGCGTAACAATATTATCCGCTCGGAACAATTATTGTCTAAAATGGTGGGTTTTCGAAAATCCCACCCCAACGGATGGTCTAAGAAACAAGACAAGTCCTTGAATTGTTTACATTGTTTACGTACTAACGTGGTGGTAGATAGTGAAGTACGTCTGATCAAACCCCACGGCGTTCATCGCGTCTAGTTTATGATGGTTTGGCGATGTTTATCGTCTCAAATGGAAATATTGAATGATTGACATCGTTAACCGGAAAAATGGTCCATCGACGCTTGGATACGCCAAAACCTTTCGAATTCAATTTTCACGGTATAAAACAGTTTTATACATATTGTATCAAACTAGGAGGGTCGTATAATCATCAGCAACGGTGGGCTCGAACCGGCAACATCAACAACACTAAAGTGTTCGATTACGAAAGCACTAATCCACATATGACTAGTACGTAGTGCTAATATGGGGTAGATATGCTTACACGGTTAGTTTTTGTGCTTGATTGGCTTTCAGTGATTAGAGTACATCGGGGAAGCCACTCGATCGACAGCATTAAGAGCAACTCCACCCAACCAAATATGTATTGCTTTGGATTATTACTATGAACCCGGATAGCATAAATCTGATGGATAAATTTAGGTGAAAAAGTCCATTTATTGAACTTTTCGGGGTCAGATTTATGTTAACATTCATCCCATCTAGTGCACCGAGTGGTCCTTGGTCAGCAAGGTCACCACGCGTCCGTTCAGGGCTTGGAGTTCACGAGCGTTGGGGAGGTGAATGACGTTGGACCACTGCTTCAATTGCGCCTTGGACAGCGTATGCACCTTTTGCAACACGTTCCACTCGACACCTTCCGTGAACGGCTCCGTGGTGAGCGAGCCAGAGTACCGAAATACGTTGCTGTTTCTAACATGGAGACTCGACGGGTCGAGCGCCGCCAGCGTAAAGTTGTCACCAGGCTTGGTCAACTGGTCAAACTGGCTGAACACTTGAGTCAAGAACGGGTTGGGTTTGTCGTGGGGGTCCAAGTCAAAGAAGATACCGACCACGGCTAGGTTCTTGTCCTTGTCGGAGTGCACAAAATGAACTTCGAAAGGGTATTGTTTGCCCCCGATAGTGTGTTCGCTGGGAGCGTGGGGGTGCAGTTGCAGCGACTGGTACACTTTGCCATTGACGGCCAAATGCGACTGGGGGCCTGCCGACCACGTGGCTCTGACGGTGGTGCCCTCATGCGACACCACAGCCGAAGCTGTGTTGAACACGACCGAGAAGTTGCCGGTGTTGGCCACGGCATTGGCGTAGGCAGTCAAGTCGATGGGGGACTGACTCATGAGTGTTTGGCCTGTCACGATGGCGACGCTGGCAACGATGGCGTACACGAAGAACTTCATGTGGGTAGTTGGGGGGGAAATGGATTATGAGGAACGGATTCGGTTGATCACCGAGGGGTTGTGTTCTCGTGTAAGCTTAGTGTGTTGTTTGTGTGAGACATTTCGTGGAATGTGGACAGTTGCTGGACTGTACTGTACTAGTACTACTCTGGAAGAAAATATATGGAAGTTTCTATATAATGGTGCATAGGTTTTTCAAAAATTGACCAAACTGTACGGATTGGATACGAATAGACCAATGAACGCAAGGATAAAGCAATGTGACAATCCTTTCGTGAAAAAGTCAGCAGGAAGAGTGTTACTGCGTAGTCATAGTTCAAGACCACATTATATTAATAGTACTCGGGACTACTTCGAAGTACTACTTCAGTAAGTTACTCAGTGTACTTCATTCCATATAGATTCCGAGTTAATCCGTTGGGTAAGTACAAATGCGACAATACTAACAACTGTAAACTGCCTCCTAAAAGGATATCGAACCTTTGTGACGTAGCTAAAGCTCATACCACTCCGTGTCTTTTTATTGTGTACATTTATCACATATGGGTGTTTAATAGTAATGTACATTTGGTTTGGCCAATGAGAGCCACGTAACAAATATATTCAGCCAATCAAAGCATAACCAGGTGTTTCGTCTAAATGCATCGATGTAATTGGTGGATATCTACCAATCAAACGCTGAATATGGCACATCCATTAAATTGGCGGAAACTTCTGCTGATCAGATTAAGGTGGGTGCGACTACTTTCAGTGGTTGTTATTCTGTCATTTACTACGTCTACTGCCTCCAGACGGAAATAAACCAGCCACAAGAGGAAAACTTGAATATTTTCAACAATTTTTCGAAGTTGAAAAATCCGAAAACACCTCCCGAAAGTACTCAAGCCTGCGAATCCGATTGGCGCAACGAATGAAAAATAAATGCCAATTTAACCAATGCAGGCAAATTTCAAGACTACTTACTCAATTCAAGATAAATTCATACGGATACACTTGAATTTATCCGAAGTTTGTGAATGTTGATCATTTTTGAGCGGCAAAATATTCATGGCGCGATTTCCATGAAAGACCTGACATCCGACCAGCGCCGGGCTGTGGTTGACCATCTTCTCTTGCGCATTGTAAAGGGTCCCTGTAAGCTGCAACGTGGCTTGCAGTGCTGTCTCCGCGAGGTCATCATGGCTGCCGGCGACAACTCCTACAAGGTCCCGCACATGAAGAAAGAAGCCCTGAAGAAGAGTGGGAAGCCTCCCGAGTCGGTGATGTGCAGTGAAGACGTCTTCGAAACTGGTCACGGCTTGCTTGCTGACCAAGACATGGCGTTGGTGACGCGTGAGCCGTCCCTCCAAACTGCCACGGACTTGGAAATGAGCAACATATTGACAGCGCTCGAAAAAGTCGGGATCGATGTGGACGACGCTGACGAGTAGGAGTGTTGGTTCTGCGTCTAAATTCATTTTTATATAGCTTTGAGTATTGAACTGCAGTATTAATAAATAATTTTATTTATTTAAAATAGCGAGCTATTTGTATGTATTTGTCTTCATATTTATTATATTTGTGGGGGTTCTCGTGTGGCGGGTTAATTTCCGGCCTTAAACGATTTCGAAGTGGCGGGTTTATTTCCGTCTGGAGGTAGTATGAACGAATCACTTCATTAAAATTACAGCAGGATCAGAGCGAACGCCAGCTTTGAGCAGCCAATCCAAATTCTCGATTTGGCTCAGAGGTCGCCATGATAGGTCAAATTTCGTCAAATGTACAATATAAAAAGACACGGAGTAGTACTAACTTACGTGAATTTAAATTAATACAATCGTATACTTACCGAACGGAGAAATGTCGCATTTGTACTTACCCAACGGATTAACTCTTGTATATTCCAGTAGTAGTACAGTAGTACTTGTACTGTAGTGACGTTAAAAGAAGTTGGCAAACAGTCAAGGCAATTTGGACAGTGGAAAGAATAAGCGAGTGTTGTGAGCATTAATGACTTCTCCTTCATACCACAGTACATAGTACTCATCAAGTCGTTCCCTCTAGAACTGTTGTACACTACTAGTAATGTGTTAACGTAAACAATGATTCATTTGCCGATGCATGATTTGCCGAACTTCTTGCCCAATAGAATGTTAGAATTGATATGATTGGATAAAACTTATGACAGCAACAATAAAACCCTTTGTCAGTTAATACTATTCCAGCAATTATTTTTTAGAGTTTCAACCTACATTAAACCTATGATAATTAAATACTTTATAAACGAATAGTAACTGTATAAATAGATATTTGTACCATTTGCTCAGCCCATTTGCAATACTTTAATCAAGTCTAAATTTCGGCAAATCAATGATTTACTGTTTGGAGTGGATATCTTTACAATTTTACTACTTCAACTGCACACATTTCAATTGACTTGTGTTTGAATCTAACTAAAGAGCTTTGACTAAGGATTATAAAAATGCAGCTACCAAGTTTAAGTTGTAAAAACTGCATGAGATATGCTCCAAACAACACAATCAAAAATCGGCAAATCAATTATTCTTTACGTTACCTCGTAGCTGTGTTCGTGACTCTCATTGGTCAAACCAATGCACATTACATTAAAACACAACCATCTGAGACAAATGTACATTTTTTTACATGTAAAGCACTGAGGACAGAAAACCGAGTAGGAACTGACGCAGCGTGGTATCGGGAATATTTATTTAAATATGAAGTGACCACAAATGAAAGTATTTTGGCCAATCACATAAAATATTTTTGTGCTGTATGATTGGACAATTCAAATTCTTCTAATTGAATCTGATTGGATAATTCAAATCTGCAGGTGACACGCATGAAAGCATGCCATTTAATGAATGACCAGGGCAAAACTTGTCGCTCGGCGCCATCAGCGCCGATACAAAGTGCGTCAAATCCGAGTGTCTCTTCGCATGAATGCTCTCCTTGGACCTTGCTCCAGCGACAGGATGTTCGCACGAACCTACGACATTCCTAAGGCTACGTTCCGTCGTTGGAAAGCGTGTGCGTCTCACTTCTTGGAGTCCTCCGACCACAGATCAGACGACTCTAAGGGGTCACGGACGATCCGAAAACATCGACTTCTCGAAGCAGCTGGTCGAATTCGTGGAGGCGGTGCGCGAAGGCGAGCACTTCCTCACGACCGCCCACTTAGTGACGTGGATCAAGTCCGACCAGCCCGAATGGCTCTCACAATATATGGCAGCCAAACCAGTGCGTACAAGAGCCTGATTGATTGGTGCCTGAACTTTGCCAATCGACATTGCTATAAACATCGCGTGCTCTGTCCAGCGTCACAAGGAGAACTGTTTGCCACACAAGACGAATTTGCTACGGCGTTTCAAAAGAGGTTTGGGCATCAGCCACAATGTACATGGATCAATGCCGCCTGGTCGAACGCTTGCGAAAGTGGGAGAGTCATCCCGGGTACTGGAGAGAGACGCAGAAGCATTTCGATCGTGTGACGGCCGTCCTATGAATTCGCGGAAATGGTACGGTTCTGTTATGACCTGTACTTGCGATTTGTATAGGAGAGAAATTTCCACGACTGATCCTTGACAAGGGTACACCTGGAGGTGGTGTTGAGGGTTTCGAAGTTCCAACCTACCCACCTGGCCCTGTGTATGCCGTGCAAGAAAAAGCGTACATGGATGAACGCGTGTGGTCCATGTACCTTCGCGAAGTACTCAAGCCTGCCTTGGACAGCCCTTCTGTGTTGCTGACCGACAACCTGAAGTGCCACGTCTCGAAGACAAGCTACAAAATTATGAACAAGGAGCTGTATTCCGGGGCTTTTCTGTAGCATGTGCCCGCCAACACCACAAGCGTATTGCAACCCCTTGATGTCGGGGTCATGCGGCCTTTCAAGCAAAAGTGCCGCACCTAGTGGATCAAGGAAGACAAGGCCGTCACAGCTCAAGAGAAGCGAATGGCCATGATTCTCCGTACGATAAAGGTTTGGGACGCAATGAAGGACGACACGATCTCCAAGTCTTTCGAAAAGGCACTTGGCATTATTGAAATTTAGTAAAATATTTCATAAATTTCGGGTCACATTTTCAATTTTTAACTTTTTCATAATTACATACAAAAATAAGTACAATCTACACAAATAAAAAAGTTGCGCACTGCTCAGATCGCCTCATGCTTCTCCTTCACCCCTCACACTATAAGTGCTACAGTGCCCAGGTCATCCAGCATTTCGCCAGCTTACCCTGGGTCCCACGATTATTTCGCGGGGGTATCGTCAGATTGAAATATTAACGCAAAATAAGCCTACTGGTCATTGGTCCCGCGTTGAATCCCCGTCAGTGCAAATTGTCAGTGGCTAAAATTCAACCAATGACAAACTCGTCCACTTCCTTGAAGTTCAGATTTTTATTATATATTTTTTGGCAACTGTCTTGCGAGGCATACTTTATTCCATATACTGTGGTGTACCACGCTGCGTCAGTCCTACTCGGTTCTCTGTAGTACGTCTAAACTCAGAACCGGCAATTTCAGTGAGTCGGACAATCGTACAAATTCAGGTTGTACCCTTCCCTCTGCTACCAGGTACTACAGTACAGTTAACCGGGGAGAAACTGGACATGGTGTGGTTTACAATACCTGTTGTAGGCTATGGATCAAAATAAAATAAGCGCAAAAATCGAGCCATGTCTGATTGGATAAAATTCATGTAACGTTACAGGGGAAACTTCTTGTCGCATATTTTTACCTTAGATTCAGCCGCTGAAAATAGCATTGTTGGATTGTTGGATTCAGGAGGGGGGGTTACCCCGAGAACCCTCCTACCGAGCACAAGACAAACAACGAAGTCTATCACACAACAATTACTACACATAGTTATACTAAACTATTTCCGGTCGAGGTATGGCTTTTTCTAAGGACTTCTTGATCGCGTCGGCAGAAATCCTTTGATCGATCGCTTGATCATGGCCAAGCGCTTTTCACCTGAAGTGACCACGGGGTTTCTTCGAGCCACAAGGTGCGAAGCAGTTAATTGAATGGACCCATGACGCCAACGTCTAACGGTTCACACACGCTGGTGCAGTTGGGAGGGACTCCAGCACACTAAACAAGTCACGAGAAATAGACTCCGACGACTCTTGGGTCACGTGAGCGTTGATATTGTCCACCAAGGTGACGGTGGGTCCATGTATCTCATACGGCAGCATGTCAAGATATGACCATCCATCCACCCTAACTTTTGGATTTCGTAGTAGTGACCGCTGGGATACGTCGCACGCTTGTATCGGGCCACCAGGAGTTCCATGCACGATGAAAAGGATAGATAACTTCGACTCTACGTCGGCGTGGCAGGACAACATGGCAGTGAGTCGGTCAGAATGTTTCTGCGTCACATCGACCTTGGATGACTTGCCGACTTCTGCCCAAATCTTGCCGGGCGGCATATCGAAGTAAACGGCCGTCTCATCCGCGTTAATAATGTCGGGGGGGTGTTGTGGTCGTTGTACTTGTTCCAAAACGCCGCTGCAAAGTCATTCTGGATGAGCACCATGTCGAGTTCTGGGAGCTTCATGTAGCATGGTACGCGTTGCAAGAAGCGGTGGCGTGCGGAAAACGACTGGCACAAGCGCAGGAGAGACATGTAAGGGCCCACTTTACCGTCGACATACGTATCCAGCCATGCCTTGTGGTAGGTCTTCATGAATTGATCCTGTGCATCGAGGTAAGGATGTGCTCATCGCGTAGCACATCCTTCATGAACGTGAGCAAGTCGTGCTTGAAAGGGAGGATGCCTTTGGCGCCTTATCCGCCGAGCGTCGGCCGCTTTGTGTTGCGTGTAGCAGCCGTAAGCTTCGTACGGAGTGTCATCCAGGTGGTCCATGTTATCCGTGGAATGCCATTCTCCATACAAAACTTATGGCTGCTGACACCTAGCCCGTCGAATTGCGCAAGGAGCGCTCGTTTTCTTGTCAGGGTGTACGATTGCTGGTGCCGGCGTGGTAGCATGAGAACGGCTGCGAGGAAGGTTTGAAGGAAGGTTGCAAGTGATGTTTTTGAAATGGTGTGCGTGGTTGATTTTGAACTGACATGTGAATTTATTCAGATTAACGATCAGTGTATTTTAAATAAAAATACATCACATTTTAGAGGTGGTCGAGTTTTTTGGGGGAGTCCAGTACACTTCTCCCCTGTTCGCTCTACTACTACGTAGTATAATAGTTGTTGATGAACGGTGCATTATTATTTTAAAATTGCTCGCGTATACCCGCGTTCTTAAGAGCCTGTTCCAAGTAGTTTTCAAAATGGGCATTACTATCCAATCAAAACGCTCCCCAACTCATTCCAAAATCCATTTTTCAAAATGGGGTACATGACCCCATTTTATCCCATTTTGGGCAACTCTGCTATTTCCCCAATGACTGGCTAATAATGGATGTCTCACTATCCAATCATTGATCCCAATGTCATTTCAACTTTTCAATTTGACATCATGGACTCGACCACTGCCGTGTGTGTTGCTGTCGTTGCTGCCGTTAGCGCCACCCTCATGTCGTATGACGGACGTAGCAACCGCGTCCCTGACATTAACACTGTTATCGTACCCAGTACTTCGTGGCACCAAGTCTAGTCCGACGACGGATGGTTCACGCGCCACCTGCGCTGCACCCGTCACACCTTTCTGCGCATCGCCGACAACATTATCTTGGCTTGTGATCTTATCCCCCACTGTTGCGGCACAACTCGTCAGTACTCGCCAGTAACATCCATTACTGACCCACTCTGACGGCTTTGACACCACGGCCGTAGTTTTTGGTATCTCTAAGACACATGCTTACGAATACTACAACGAAGTGATTTTGGTCCTCCAGTTGTGCTTTCTTGCTGAGGTAGTCCACATGTCGCGCACCCAAGCTGATTGCGATGAAGTGCAGATGGGCTTTGAAGGCCATGGCTTCCCAAACGTCTACGGCGCTTTCGATGGCAGCCAGATTGCAGTAAAGTGATTCGCGGACTTTCCTGGTTGGTATTGCCGCAAGGGTTTCACGGCGTACAACATGCAAGTTGTAGTGGACCACCGCTTGAGGTTCATGTCGTATTCGGTTTGCATTTCTAAAATGGCTATGGATGTGTTATTGACCAATCAGCATGCATCTTAGTCTAATGATTTAAGTCCAATCAATTATGGTCATAGAATGGGTAGAAAATGCGACGAAATATTTTATCATCTTATTTTTCTTTTTTTTCAATTCTACTTGGAACAGGCTCTAACTCTAAACGCGAAGTCACACCTAAGCGGTTCGTACTAGTATGAATAGTAAGCAGTCATTCTATAATAGTACATACTAACGCCTAGTAGCTGCTTCAGTGTCATTTCAGCAAGCACCTTGATTTGGGGGCAAAACACAACTTTTTGCCACAATACAACTCTTTCGAAAGTAGTGGAGTTTAAGTTCGAGTTTGGGATTCACGAAAAATTATTCAAACTAGAGCTCCAAAAATACGCGCTTTTCGAAGCCAATCAATTTGAGTTTGAGATTTCATATCAAGGTCAAAAGCCCATCATTTAAAAACTCCTCGCCATGGAGTATAACACCAACTCACTGCACAACCCTGCTCAAACATCGGACGATTCCTTGAACGCCCTTTACGAGGAGCCTGGAGCATACGCCGGTACGACGCGGAAGTCGTTTGGTTGTTGCACCGATGACATCACTCTCCTGATCGTAGTCAACGACGCCAAGCCCTGGACAGCCTCGGCCGGGACGCTCATGAAGTCGTGGACGGACATAGCAAGCGACCTCAAGGCCAACGGACGGTGCTAAAGTGTACAAAGACTGGCAAGGCTGCAAAATCCGTTGGGCAAGCTGGCAAAGGCGTACAAGGAGCGTTCACTTACTGCGATGCGCCGAAGCGGAACCGACAGAATTCAACGAATACGAGCAACTGTATGAAGATAATTTGTCGCAAATCAACGACTTCGTCGAGAAAAAGGGCGCTCAAGGATCACTTCTTGCGGCGAAGAAGGACGGCATCGAATCATCTGGTGTTAATGATGCGAAAATTGGCGATGGTGTCGATGGATGCCAGCGATGGAAATGAATCGGGCACGCCGTCGAAGCGCACCAGAGTGGTTGACTTTTTGTAGCACATTACGACCGCAGTCGATAACGTCACGGGTGAAGAAGACACAAGTCTCAAAATAGCGACGTCATTTCTCAAAGACCGGTTCGAACAAGAAGATATGCGTGAAGAAAAACGCGCACATCGAGAGAATGAGCGTGACCGTCAACAGCATGAACGTGATCTCGCCCGGGCAAACAAATGCAGGAATTTTTGGTAGCTTTGGTTAGCACAATGCATACGCCATAATTCACAATCGTGTGCTAATATATTCACTTAAAATTGTGCAATTTATCTATTCAATATCGCTTCAACAATCAAGTTCCTATCATGCATTGGTAATTTTCATGCATTAGTGGGTGTCAGAGTTGCAACAAGTGCTTGGCAACAAGTTAAAAAGTTCATTCCGATTGGCTATAATCAAAGAAAAAATACTTGTCGATGTAAGCGTACCTTGCCAGAAAAACTAAACAAGTCGGCAAGTAACCATTTTGACAGGATACATAGTCGTCCTCGAAAAGCTGCAATTTGAAGGGATCCAGGTTGTGGTTGTTTAACTCGATGAACTTCCTCGTTGTTGCTTAAAACTGGAGTTGCAGCTCATATCGGATATTCACGAGACGCCATGCCACCACGAAAAGGCAAGTACACTAGTTCGCAAGCCAATACTAGTAGCGACACCATCGATCGGATCCACGAAAAGACCACATCGAAACGAATTCTGTGGACCAAAGATGTTGTGGGCGACGGTAAGTCCAGTATTGACGTCGTGATAGCTTGGATGTCCGTCGAAACAAACTACCTCAGCTGGAAAGGTGGAGGCAATCACGGCGGGTCCACTAAAGCGTCCCTCGCATCGGAGGTTTTTGCGAGGCTTTCAACGCACGGAATTCATCACAGGACTACGAAAGACGTGGTGCAAAAAGATCGGCGACATCGAGCGAGCGTATCGCAGCGCGTGTGATTGGTTAGCGAACACAGGTCAGGGTGTTGAAGATGAAGATAGCATTCAAAAGGAGGTAAAACGAATGTATCCGTACTACACCATTTTGCGTTTAATTCCAGCATATTTTCAATATATTTCCACCAACCTCCGATATATTTCACCGAATTATCAATATAATTCACCCAACCTCCATTATATTTCACGCCGATGTAATATATCGGCGATATATTTCACCCAACCTCCGATATAATTCACCCAACCCACGGTTAATTTCACCTTTCGAAAATATATTTCACTAGACCACCGGTATATTTCATGGAAAGTAAATTAAAACAACAAATCTATGACATATACGGCTTAAGCACCAACATCCATGTCTTCCATGTTCTCAGCACGGACATAAAACGGCTCAAGGCGGGCCGTGTACACATGCAAACGATTCGGCTCAATTCCTAATTCATTGTTGAGTTAAATACGATTTTAATGCACAAAGTACCTGCAATTGCCTCGTCAGCTGTGTGTTCCAAGTATTGCATGCGAAACTCATTACGAGTCTGTCCGTCTGGTGGTGGTCCCATAAAGGACGCGACTCGTTCGCGCAAATATGTCTTAATGCGGCTCTTTAGCGCCGACCACATATTCTCGATCGAGTTCAACACCGGAGAGTACGGCCCTAGTTTTAAGAACGAAGCGTCTGAAACTCGACTTCTTCGAACACGTTTCTCAATCTATGCAAAACAAGGTTAGCAATAGTATGTATAAATCATACCTTGAGTGACAT